TTGTTTCTTGCGGGATTTTGTGGCTCCATCATATGTTTCTTTGAAGATTTCATACACAGTTCATCTGTGTTCCGTATCTGACGGGCACAGTACTGAAAGACCTTGGGGATACACATTTCGATCTCTCTGGCCCTCGTTCTCTCTGCACTCCCTCTCTCATAACTCATGTTTCCACATGTGCCAGGTGAGCTTTTTGAGCTCATACTTGGTCACTGTTCATCTGGGGGTGTGGGGAGTATCCTCTGTTGGGAATGCTGTTCTCCAGAGTCGAAAGGCTTCCTTCGCCACAAGTCTGGGCTTCAGTGTGGGGCTCTCGGGGTCAGTTGGCCTCATGGCTGCTGGCCCAGATATTGTCCCTCTGTTCACGGCAGTGGTGACCCTGCTATGTGCCCTCAGGCCCAACTCACTTCTCTCTCTCTCTCTCTCTCTCTCTCTCTCTCTCTCTCTCATTTACCACTCACTTTTCCTTGCTCCGATTTTGACTCACTTCTTGCTCTATATTGGAATTTCAAAAGCAAAGGTGGGTTTTGAAAGAAAGTTTACCCTGGTTCATGGGTGAATGAGATAGCATATGGCTGTCTTGAGTCTCAGATGTGAAAGTAAAAGCTGCGTATCAGCACCTCCATGGGCTGCTGTCATTGATCAAAGTGCCCCATTTCATCTGAATGTGGTTTTGTAGCTGCAGATTAGCACAGATAGTTCCAACCTGTCTGAAGTAGGAAGTTCAGAGGGGTGGTGAACTGATGTCAAAGTCAGTTCATTGGTGTCATCAAGGTCCCCATGAAGCTGACAGAGAAGAGGGACCCAGTTCCACCTCGTGAGCCAGTGCACAGAGAGAGGGAGAGGGGAGTCTGAGGTGCAGCCTCTGGAAGGCAGATGTGGGAGGCAGCTTGGCAGGGCCCCAGGTTGGGACCTGTGCTCAGTACGGCTCCTGCCTTCGCTGCTTGTGTGGAATGCACGTGTGCCTGATTCTGCTGGCTCGAGGCAGTAGCATCCGGATGGTGCACTTCCTCATGTCTTTTGTGAGTCATTAGGGCTGGTACCTCTCCTGAGTCAGGGGGCTCTCGTCCTCCTATTCACATCCCATTGTCCAGCATGTCACTCCCAGAAATTCTCCTTCCCGGCTCCCCAGTTGTGTCTCTTTGAGAAGCTGCTGTGGGCCCCTGTGGCCATTTTGACCACGTGATGCAATGCCAGGTCGTGACGGGACGGCGAATGCTGCCATGGCGCCCCTGCGGTCTACCCGCACAGACCACCCCCACCGCAGGGAGCATCCAGCCTCTGCCCGTCCCAGGAGCCCGCCTGCCCCGTCAGCCGGCCCTGCTGGGCTCTGCCGTGAGCAGAACGAGAATGCCGAGGGGCCGGGGCGTGCCCCAGCTCTGCTCTTCTGTCTGCTGCGGACACTGCCGTGTCCTGACACCTGGGGAGTGGAGGCTGCTTCAGGGCCCACCAGCTCCCGGGTCCTCGTGGCCCTGCCAGTGTCTGGGCATAACCCCCACACACTGTCTCTGGTCGAGGGGGGCCGAGGGGCTCAGCCTCTTCTTGCAGAATCAACATTCTCCCCACCCCTCCTGCTCATCACAGAGCCTCAGGCGGTCCACCTTGGGGAAGGGTGGCTTTCCTGGTCTCTCAGCCGGGGGGTCTTCATAGCCCATGACATCAGGACAGCGTCCAGGCCGGCTGAGGCAGCTCACAGCCCAGCTCCGGTCAGAGCATGGACGCCCACGCTCTGTGCTAGCAACACAAGCCTGCTGCGAGCTCGCGCCTCCAGCAGGGAAGGCCACCCTGGGGCTTCTGCACACTCACCGAGGCCAGTGGCCCTGAGAGTGACCGGGAGGTTGGACCCCAATTCGGACACCTGTGTGACAAGCCTGGTGGATGTGGGGGGCCGAGGGGCACCTTCCTGAGAAACGGGCCAAGAGAAGGAGCTGCTTCAGCGTCTGAGCCCGTGTTTCCTGTGTTTCCGATGAAAAGCAGCCCAGCCCAGGATCTGCCTGCAGGCAGCAGACGCCTCACAGTTGCCGGCCGTTACTGTCACCAAGTGTCTGGTCTTCGCCACCTCCAGCTGCTGGGCCTGTGGGTTTCCCTTCTGTGCCCTGCTTCCTGCCAGCTGCCTGGGGGCCGCTCGGCTGCGTGTCCACAGCCTGTCCCTGGCCTGCCGTCCTCTGTGCTCACAGGGTGGCCGTCGCCAGTGCTGACCTGGGAGCTGGCACAGGCTGTCCAACTGGAGCTGCAGGAGGGACTGTCCCCCAGGACCCAGAGAGCCTCACAGAAGTGAGTGCCTTCAAGGCCATCGCTTGGCCAAGGCCAAACACAGCCTGTTTCCACTGCGCCGGCCCCTTCCCGCGCGGTGCTCATCGTGGACCGTGAAACGCTGGAGTGTCCCTCCGCCTGTGCGCCTGAATGAATCTCCAGCCCCCGCACCGCTGGGGTCAGCAGGGAAAGCAGCAGCCTCCAGGTGTCTGCTCACACCCTGCCCCCGCAGACACCACTTCCTGGGCTCTGGTGTCCAGCGTGCTTGCGTTTTCTTCCTGTTGTCGTTAGTTTTTTATTTTTTTTTACTGCATAAGACCGATTGTGCACCCCTGAGTAAAGCCATCTGCTGTAGCCTGTTAGGGAGCTGTGTGGATGTGGACGCGGGGGTGGGTTTCATGCCGTGAAAGTCACCGAGCTTTGTGGTGCTGCCGCGGCCCGGCTCTCTGCTCTGGGGGCCCCGCTGCGTGACCGGTCACCGCTGAAGCATTCAGGCCGCAGTCAGTGAGCACGGGTCACGCAGTTTTGGGGGATCACAGGTACCCCCTGGGAGGGGATTGCTGACTCTCACAGGACAAGTGGGTCCAATTTGTGGGAAGTTCTGAACTGTTTCCCAGGGTGGCTGGGCTCATGCTCCCCCCGGCAGAATACAAAGGCGCGCATGGCCCCCCGTTCTCGGCAACACGCAGAAGGAAGCCGTCTTTCCACCTTCGCCTGCTGGAGCGGCGTACCGAGGCTCCATTCCTCCATGGCGGGTTCACGTCCATTCCCCAGATTTCTCCTGAGGTGACCACAGCCTCTCCCTGGGCACTCTGTGGTCCTCTGTCTCAGTTAAAAAAAATTTTCTATTCTTTATTTATTTTAGAGAGAGAGGAAGGGAGAGGGAGAGAGAGGTAGAAACATCGATGAGAGAGAACATGGACTGGCCGCCTCCTGCACGCCCCCCACTGGGGATCAGGCCCACAACCTGGGCCTGTGCCCTGACTGGGAATCAAACTGGTGACCTCTTGGTGCAGGGTCGATGCTCAGCCACTAAGCCACACTGGCCAGACTGGGTTTTAATGAGAAAAGATTCGTCAAGGCACAAGTCAAGGTGGAGTGGTAGGGATCGGACATAAATCGGAACCTGAGCTCACATCCCACGTGAAGGCCTCTGAACCAAGGACAGTGGTAGCTGGGGCGGCCTCGGCGTGCGTCCCCCTGCCCGTCCACATGTGCACACACACGTCCGTGACCTGAGATGAAGAGACGGGCAGTGCCCACACTGCAGTCCGGCCTGCTGCTTCACCACCCGTGCTGCCGTGGCAGACAGGACCCACGCAGTCCTGCACCCGCATCACCAGGCCGACTCCGTTCTCCACGCAGAAGCCTGTTTCTCCTTTTCTTGTGGTTGCTTCTCACTGGACCGCCACCCCCTGGCCTTCATGGGCTGTGTGGCCGGCAGTGTGGCCGAGGCGGGCGGAGGAGCTGTGGTCTCAGGGCCGAGCCCCAGAAGTGGCCCTGCCGAGGCGGGAGGTCGGTGCCCTCCGCCCGTGCCAGCTCACTGAGCCGCGGGCTAGGAGGGGGCCCGCCAGTGTGCACCGCCGGGCATGATGTGAGAACTTTACTTTTAAACCGAGTCTCACCCCACATACCCCAGCTCAGCTCTCATGTCTTGGGTTAGCTTTTGAGGTGAAGCTGCAAGATGGACAGGAAGATATGACCATGTTTGTTCCAAAGCCCATCTTGCGTGTGGCCGCTGGCCGCTGGGGGAGGCAACCCAAAGGTCTCTGGCAGGTTGGCATAGTTGAATGCTTCCCAAATAGACTGCATTTGGGCACTTACTGTTTGGGGCCTCAGTTCCCTCGTCTTAGAAAGCGTCAGGGCTGGGCGTCTGTTCAGCACCTCCAGCCTCACCCTTTCTGATTTCATGACCCAATGGGCTCGAGTTGCTCAAAGGGAAGAATGGCTGAGGGTGGGGTGACTAAGCAGCTAAATTAGGGGTGGGGGTCACGCCATCTGCTCCTGTGTGGCCCCGCCTAGCCTTCCCAGGAGGCCACTCTCCTCCCTGAGGGCAGAAGTCCCTGCACTGTGCATTGTAGTGTGCCCCCTGCTGGCGACTGGATGCACAGGCTGCATTCCCTTGGATGCGGGAAGGGGTGCTGCCCAGGGGTCCCACCAGGGTGGGAAGCAGAGCCGGGCAGTCCCTGCGTTTGCCTGGCATGCCCACCGCACAGTGGACGACACTGTCTTCTCCGGTGGCTTAATCTCACTGTGTCAGATGCAACATTTGAAATCCCCTCCGTGCAGAAGGGAGAGTGTGAGGGGGTGAAGCAGGCCCTGGAGGGGGCCCTCACACACTCCCACCACGGTCCAGAAGTTCCTAGTAAAGCGCCCGTCAAACACCCCACCGGCTGGGACTCTGCCCTCAGGACAGAGAGGAGGTGAGGACGGTCTGCAGACCCCCAGCTCCGCGGTCCTGTCGGTCTCAGGTGCTGGGCCCCGAGCGGCTCTGCTGCCCAGGAGAACCTTGGCCTCTCCGGATGCCCAGCTGGGGCTTCGGGCGCCCTGAGCCTTGGCTCTGGTCCCGCCCAGACCATGGGATCTTTTAGTTGTGAGCTCTTGGGGTCACCGAGCTTGTGTGGGGCCTCCCTGAGCACGGAGGGCAAAGCGCTTGACGCTGAGGTGGGGATGCGGCGGCTGGCAGCCCACTGAGGGCACTTTCCTGCGAGAGGGCAGGCTCCTGAGTGATGGCTCCTCTCTCCCAGGATCAGGGCCCGGGACAACAACGGGTCCTACGCCCTGTGCCTGCTGCACGAGGGCAAAGTGCTGCACTACCGCATCGACAAGGACAAGACGGGCAAGCTGTCCATCCCCGACGGGAAGAAGTTCGACACGCTCTGGCAGGTACGCCGGCCCTCGGGAGGGAGGGGAGGCCCACCAGGGTCCCTGCCCAGCCAGAGCCTGCCCAGCAGTCTCTGGGGGCCGCGGACCAGCGTCCAAGTTCAAGACGTGCTGGTCTAGAGTCACCACGTTGGGTTCATGAGGTTCCAGAAGGTCTTGTAGCTTCTCTGGGGCCAGGCAGGGCTTGGAAGGCAGATACAAGGCCTAAGGCTGTGTGCGGCGGACGGAGCCTCAGCGATGCTCTCAGGCCCTCTCTGACTTGGGAGGGGCCCAGCTGAACATAACATGTCAGTCCCTTGACCCAGGAATGAGTCCCCACTGCCCTCAAGGCCATGCAGACCCGGGCAGCTCTCCTGAGCCCAGCTGCCACCTGGGAGGCCTGCTCCATGCTGCTCTAGTCGGGTCCTTCTCCTGGCCCGGGACCCCCCGCGGGGTCGCTCCCTTGGCCCCGGGACCCCCCGCGGGGTCGCTCCCCTGGCCCCGGGACCCCTGCGGGGTCGCTCCCCTGGCCCTGGGACCCCCCGCGGGGTCGCTCCCCTGGCCCCGGGACCCCCGCGGGGTCGCTCCCCTGGCCCTGGGACCCCCCGCGGGGTCGCTCCCCTGGCCCTGGGACTTCTCTTTGCACAGCGAGCCCTAACCCTGCATGGCCGCTGTCCTCCAGGGGCCGCCAGGGCACAGTTTGCTCTCTGACTAGATCGCCCCTGTGTGAGGAGATGTCAGCACCATGGGTGCTGTTCGGCCAAGCGGAGTGGGGCAGACAGAGAGCCGGGGGCTCTGCCTCCCCGAGAGCAGCAGCGACACCGAGCTCTGGGGGTGACTGGTGTGAGAACCCCCCCTCCCAGGCCTGGCGGGAACCTCACAGGTGGGGACAGCCAGGAAAGGTCCCAGCCCAAGTCCCGTCTGCTCAGCTGCCGAGGCCAGGGACCCTCCCCCCTTCGTGCGCTGGGAGCCACCTCCACCGACTGCGTTTCGGTTCCTAATGCCGGAACTGATAACACTTTTTTCCAAATGCTGGACGTTATAATATTATTCACAGTCGTTATGACACGGACCTTGTCTTTCGGTTTGTACCTCAAGCCTATGGCTCCTTATGCACCACAGACTTTGCTTGGTTTCGGTGGTTCCATTGGAAAGGGACGTAGGCCGGCAGGTCACCCACCACCGCAGACAGGCGCAGAGATCCCGGCCTCGGGTCTTCACTTCCCACCAAGGTCTGGACGCCTCCGTGACCTGCTCACGGGCCAGCTGTGCACCCCGCCAGAGCGGGCCGTGTCCTTGGTGGGAGTCCCGTCCCGAGACTGCCCGTGAGCATTGGTTTCTGTGGCCCGCGGCCGTGTGCAGCCCGCATGAAATCCTTTCCGCTGTGCGTTTTGTAGCGCAGCGTTGGAGAAGGGGCGATGCAAAGGCGAGAGCTGCCTTCGCTTCTGCGTGCTCCCCTGCGTGGTCGCTCCTATCAGCAGGGTCATCGCGCCGCCGTGCCTCGCGCCAGCAGGCTGGGCTGTTTCTCTTGACAGTTGGTGACGACGCCACGCGTGTCCTCACTGTAGCACAGGGTCAGCAGACACGGGCAGCCCTGGCCCTGGCCGGCTCGGGGCAGTCCGTGAGGGACGTGGCTTTGTACCTGGCAGGATTGTTCGCGGTAAAGGACTGTGTGACCGAGGTGGCGTGTGGCCTGAGAGGCCTCGCATATGATTATCTGGCTCTTTACAAAGAGTTTGCCGACCCTGCTCAATGGAAACCCCACCTGCACACCCACCACCCGCCACCCCTGCAGAATACACGGTCTGGAAACAAGCATCACGGAGCGTTGGAATGACCCGGGGGGGGGGGGTCCCGCCTGTTCCAGGGACCTCAGTCCTCTTGGCCTTGAACAGAACAGGGAGCGCTTTGGGGTCCTTTCCAGTAGCAGGTGAGGGCTGACCCGACTGGAACATTTATTGAGAGGGTAGGTCTCGTGTTGTGTTCTTACCACAGGAATTAACATTTGGAAAAAGCATGTTCCCTGGAAGGTAAACTATATGCATTTGACACAGTCACCCAAGTAGGTGAGTTGGGGACTGGAGAAGCCATCAGCGTCAGACAGGGAAGAGATACCAGATGTGAACATGTTCCGTTATCAAGAGAAATATCAGTTATGAGAAAAGGAAAGGTGAAATCTCAGGACTGTCTTATTGCCTAGTTTTAATAAAATAAAAATTAGCCTACTTGCCGTGAATTTATTTTTAACGTAGAAAGTAGAGACCGTAGTCATGGTTTTCCAGGACCTGTTAGCCAAGGATGCCCACGTCCTGTGACTGTAAGGTTACTCTCCGGAAGGTCACCTTCCCCACGTCCGCTCCTCCGTCACCTGTGCCACGACAGCTCCTCTCTGACACTTTTGGGCGGAGTGACTTGGGCCTTCCGAAGTCGGCCTACACCATGCCTCTGTGTCTGTTTCTCACATGGAAGTAAGCCCTGCTGGGCAGCACGTGTGTGCAGTTCACCATGGTTTCCCCGTGGCCTCTCGCAGGGAAGCGGAGTGTTTGTTGAATGACTGACTGACTGCTGAGTCATTTTTATAATGTCACACAGAGGTAGGAGAATATGACAGATACTGTAAGTGCGTGTTGCTATAAAAAAAAGAGAGAGAGACAAAGAGAGGATCCAGAAGGGGGTGCTGCCTGTGACTGCTGTCCCGAGTCTGGGGGAGGGAGGGGAGAGACAGTGGGGTGGGGTCAGGCAGACAAACCCAGGGAGTTAAGGGCTGTCCTTGATCATGTCCAGACTTTAGAGGGGAGGCAGCTGCTCCATCAGGATCCCATTCCTCACTCTGTTACTTATTGTACCTCTTACTCTCTTCTCTTGTAGCTAGTGGAGCATTATTCTTATAAGCCAGATGGTTTGTTAAGAGTTCTTACAGTTCCGTGTCAAAAACTTGGCCAAACAGGTGAGTCACGAAGACATTGGAATGTCCATCTTTGGGGTGATAACCACAATCTGATGATAATCAGTGTGCCTTAGATTTGACCCGTTGCCCATTCAGGTGGGCTGAGGCCTTGAATGATCAAAAATGGGGTCCAATTTTACATATATCATTGATTAAAAAAAAAATAGCAATGACTTTAACTTGAAAAAACCAGTGCCAATAGCCTGGGTGAGAAAGTGGAGTCGGAGACGGTAATGACAAGGAATGTCCGCAGGCACCGCACCTGCTTTTCGAGGGCACATGTCGTCACGTGACCCATGATCTGTGGCGGGAGGGGTTGTGGGCGCTGTTCACGGAGACAGCAGTAATCAATCGCTCTTTCTCACCAGGACATGTTAATTTCGGAGGTCGTCTGCAGTTTCCAAGCGCCAACCCTGCGGTAAGTGTTTCCTGAAATGCCAGCAGAGGCGGAGCAGCTTGGTGGCGGAATGAAAGGCATGTCTAGGCTCACAGGGGCCGTGTCACTGTTGTGCCTCTCTTGCTCGATGACCTGGGGTGGCGGGTGGCGGCTGGAGCCAGCCTGCTTCCGCCCCAGGCTAGCCAGGTGATTTTCCTGGCGGGTTCAGCTCCCTGTTTCCTGAACGTGCACGAAACGGCCACGAGACCCAGCGTTCAGTCATAAGCACAGCTCCTGGCAGATCAGGACAGTGCTAGCGTGTGCAGGCTCAGCCCTGAACCGTCTGTGCCCACGTGTGTGGCTGGTGCCAGAGCCTGGTACATAAGACATCTCGGTGACGCTGTCAGCCAGTCGTTTGCTTAAGTCCACGAGACGCCCTTGGGAGAAGCCCGCCCTCTCCGGAGAGCTGGCGCACCACAGGCCGAGCGAGGGAGGCTCAGGAAGACAGCGCTCCATGGCGTCAGAGGCCCCGGAGGGGCGGAGACCCCAGCTCTCGGCCAGAACCCGCCTCCCGTCCTTGTCGGTGGGCGGGGAGAAGGTGGCCCATCCATACTGCTCATGGGTTTGCCCGAAATGTGCCCGAGGTCCCTAGAGAGAGAGAGGGTCACCCGTGTCCTCCCTGCAGACTGCTGGGGCTGACGCACAGCTTCAGACTCAGCATGAACTGGTTTCCTGCCCCTCTTGGAGGACCTTATTGGGGACCTTTGATGCCCTTCTATGTCACCTGCGAAGTGTAAAAATCACCCCATGTGAGCTGTGCACCTGACACCTCTTTTTTGTCCACTAATGAAAAATCCGCAGAATGTGGATGCGCTTTCTACCCCCGTGGCACCCGGGAGCCGCTCAGAAGCTGTGCCCACCTTGAAACGGAGAGGCTGTCCAAGGGCAGCACTTGCCACCAGATTGGGGGACCGGGAATGTGCTAAACGTCAGTGAACTATAGGATCGAGGTCTAAACTATAGCACTTTTGAGGGGTCATTTTATTTTGCCCTTTTTGTGGCTCGTGGGCCTGTCAGGTCTGCTTGGCCACCTGTACTCCGTGAGGCAGATTCTCTTCCCCGAAGCCGGGTCAGCGCTGGGGTCTCGAAGAATAGCAAGCCCTGTGTTTAGGCACACATCACCCAGTGGCTTCAGGAAGTTAGGTTTTTGGCCCGACGTTCTGTTGACGGATGAGATGCACACAGAAGAAATGCCCGTGTCCTGAGGGTTCCAGCCAGTGAGCTCCCAACAGCAGCTGGAGCCGCGCCCCGAGGGGCGCGTAGCTGGAGTCGGTGCACCTCCAGTTTCTTTAGAATGATTCACCTGGAGCTTCACTAATGATCCTCTATGAAGTGTGAGCTATTTAAGGTAACAGCGGCAGTGTCACCGCCTTTTGTGGAAAGTAGTTCCCAATGGGTGTGGCAGGCCCCTCTGCTCGGAGCCCAGCTGTCCTGGGAGTCCTGGTGAGTCGCGAGCCGCGGCGCTGAGCCCGAGGTCTGGCGTTGTAGCTGAAGCAAGTTCACGCAGCCTGTTAGGTCCCGGAGACTGTTTTCTCAACACTGACTGTTCCTCTCTGCTGTTACGGTTTCCAGACTTGGTCCGCGGGCGGAATCATCTCCAGGATCAAATCCTACTCCTTCCCAAAGCCTGGCCACAGAAAGGTGCTAAAGCATGCCCCGTTTGCTGTCCCTGCCTGGTAGTACTGACCCGAGCTCGGCACCCGCTGGCCCTGCCGCCTCTGTGTGTCGCCTGACCCCCGCTGCTCCGCCCCGTGCCTCCCTGCTGCGTGCCGCCCTCGGGGCAGACACTGCTTTCCACGTGGGTCCTGGTCCCTCGCTGTCACGCACGTCCACCGCTGTGCTCGCGCTGTCTGCTAACGAACGTGTGTGCTTGAAAGTCATTCCAGTCAGCGTGGCAGGTGGGAGGTGATTCTCCGAGTCAGCCGGGTCACGGCGGAGTTGCCAGAGCTGTGTGTGTCGCAGTGTTACGTACGGCACCTGACGGTCTAGCTCTCACGTGGACGGGAGGGACGCGGAGGACGGCACGGTGCGGGCGTACGCCGGGTGTTTCATACGTGTCGGGCCTCATTAGCTTCATCGTGGCTGTAAATGCCCACGCAGAATGCTCACCATAACCCAGGAAAAGGTACAATGAGATCGAAGGATCGGAAACACGATTCTGCTGATGAGAGTCAGGCTTACCTATGATGCCTCTTAGATTTTGCTGTATGATTGAATTATGAGGGAAAAGTGTTTTTTTAATGACTCTTATTTATAACAAATCACCTCCATCAAAGTCCATATGTCATGTATATGGGTTCCCTTTTTTCCCTTTTCTGTTTTTATCATCGGTGGCATGAAATTGATTATTGCATTAAGTCTTTCCATGTTCACCTCGGTTGGCATTTTCCGAAACATTGCAGCGTCTCGTTGGGCATGAGCTCAGGAGCAGACTGCTGAGACTTAGGAGGAGCCAAGTGAAAAGCACACAAGCCCTGAGGTGGCACTTAGTAAAATTCCAGGTGGGCATCGTGCCCAGTGTGTCCTCAGTCCCGATGGCCACTGGGCGTAGAAGACCGCACACCCTGAGGCGCAGGAGGTGTGAGGGGCAGTGTGATGATCGGGGTGGAACGGCGTCATTGCCACGCCCCGGCCCGGTCAGTGTGGGCCAGCCCACGGCTACATCGGCTGTGATGTGGCATCGCTTTCGGGGGTCGCCGAGGGGCCCCTCGTGCCAGGGGCAGCCTGTTGGGAGTCGGGCACCTGGTCGTCAAGGTGATCCCTGCTCTCTGTCGGGTCCTCTTGCCCTACAGCCTGGCACTGGTTCTCCAACAGGGCCAGGCGGTAGCCGAGCCTCTGACCTTAAGCAGGTCGGCATTCCCCATGATCGAGGCAGAAGTTCCGTGGCCGCCACCTTCTGGCCCGCCTGGCCCTGGACCCCAGTCCACAGTCGCCCCTTCTCCTGGGAGCAGGCTCCTGTCTTTGTCAGGATGGCACCTTACAGGACAGTAATCCAGTAGGACATGGGCCAGATGGCACCCCAGCCGCTGAGGTATCTCAAATGTGTTCTGAGTTAGGGTGCCTTTGAGTCGTGAATTATCCTTCCAAGGTCATGATTACAAACTCAGGTCCAGTTGGTGACTTCCCACCGTGGTGGGGCAGCCAAACCCAGGACCCGAGAGTCCTTCATCAAAGGCTGCTTCGGCTGGTGACTCGGGGCCGGGCGTCCCGTCAGCAGACTCAGAGCCCCTCACCCCCGCTCCCTGGCCACTCCGCCCACAGGGTCTGCCGGCAGCCCTGAGGCGCCTGTGGGCATGGCCCCCTCCAGTCCCCCTCACTCGTCCATCACTGTGGTAACGGCCCAATCCTCGTGCCCGCGCAGGCCCGCCCAGGCGCGTCCCAGAGGGAGCGCACTCACTTAGACAGACACAGCCTCCCACGTCCGTCTTAGTTCTGTGGTGTCCAGGTGTGTGACCAGGCAGATGTATGTGTAGAGGAGACACGCTCTCACACACACGTATAGGCACATACATGATGCACACACGCACATCACATATCTACACCCATCTGTCTGCATGCACACCCACACACACGTATAGGCACATACATGATCCACACCACATGAAACCTACACCCATCTGTCTGCACACACACCCACACACACGTATAGGCACATGCATGATGCACACATGCACATCACATGATATCTACACCCATCTGTCTGCACGCACACCCACACACACAGATAGATTCGACACCGGGACTCGCCTTACAGTTGAAGGAGCCGGTGAGCAGGCCGTCGGGAGGCCGATCAAGGCCGGACGGACCCTCGGCACAACCGAGGCTCTCACCCTCGGCCAGGGCTCAGCCGGGACCCCGTCCTGCCCGGGAAGCCTCGACTCGCTTCTGAGGGCTCTGGACTGAACGCCGGCCCACCCAGTGTAACTCTCCAATTTAAATAAAGGAATTGGGGATTCTAATTACATCTGTGAAATCCCTTCCAGCAGTGCCAAGGTCATGGTTTGATTTAATAACAGGACTTTATCAGGCTGGCCAGTGTCATTGCTCATCAGAAATATTTTAGGAGAACTAATATCTATGTTTTCACAAATAGAAGGGGATTTTTCCATTATTTAACCAGTTATGAGAAAAGACTACTAGGAATTATGTCAGATATTTCATTTGTTTAGCTAAGGTACAAATAACTTTCTTGAATGTGTTCATTTGATCGACATAGTTTTTAATAATTCAGGCACACAAAAAAGTACGTATTAAAGCTTGGATTAAATCTAGCATGTAGGTAGTTAATGAAAAGTATATTTTGATTTGAAGATGATTATTAATCAAATAATTTTAAAGTTTATAATAAACACTTAAGGGCAGGTGTATTTTACACTTATTTTTAGATATTAGTGACATTTTGAGACTTAAAAATATAACTGAAGTTCACTGAAGAGTAGAGGTGCGGCCGCCCTCCCCTGCGCCCGCCATACACTGGCCTGGACGACCGGCCATCCCGAAGTCCCCGTGTCTGCTGCTGAAGCGCGTGCCCACATCTCAGAGGCCCGTTCTCTGGGCCGGAGGGCCCGCTCTGTCTTCACTGTGGAAATGTGTTCCAGAATCTCAAATTACAATCCACTTCCCGGCTTTATGCCACCCCAAGCATTGACTGGAATATTTGAAGACATTTAAATACACAATCTGTCTGGTCGGTGTGGCTCAGTGGTTGAGTGTTTACCCATGCACCAAGAAGTCACTGGTTCGATTCCAGGTGAGGGCACATGCCCAGGCTGTGGGCCTGATCCCCAGTGGGGGGCGTGCAGGAGGCGGCCCGTCGATGTTCTCTCTCATCGATGTTTCTCTCTCTCTCTCTCCCTCTCACTTCCTCCCTCTCTAAAATCAATAAAGGAAAAAAATTTAAAAAATAAATAAATACACAGTCTGCTAGGGTTCAGCTGGGAGAGAGAGAGAAAGAAAGAAAGGTCTCAAGTCCTACTGGTTTGGGAATGCCAGAGCAGGGACAGGCCCTGGAAATGTGTCCTCGGAATATTGTGAAGGGCACGAGTTAATATCTGGGCTTCTGAGGTGAACGTCAAAGGTTAATCTTCATGGATCTGAAGGAAACCTGCTCTCAGCTGTGGGGCCTTTCCCTCTGGGGCAAGTCATCCCTCTGAGACCAGAGCGGTCGGCTCATGGCAGCGGCATCTCTGAGGCCCACGGGCTCTCTTTGCTACTGCACTGGTGACCAGTATTCAGTATCGTCACTGCTGCTTTCACCTGACTCAGAAACGTCTTTCAAGACGTCAAGGCCCAGAACTGGGCCTCCCCAGAGCAGCCCGAGGCTCCCCTTTAAACTGAATGAGCTGGCAGAAGTGACCCGTGTTTCCTCTTTCGTTCACTGCTGAGGCCTCAGTTCGTAAACCTCGGCACACGACGGAGATTTGTCAGATCCGTTTTCTACTTGCAGTTAATCCTGGCCAAAAAGAAGAGATCTGGGATTATCATTTATAACCTAGTTTTTATTTTGTTACTGTGGTGTGAGCTGTTCTTACCAGAAGTGCATGCAGCTAGTGCTCCCTAGTGGTGTCCGGCCTATTTGACTTCTGTTTTGAATATTAGCAAAAATGGTAACAAAAAAAAAGGCAATTGTCAGCATTCTTTATACCTTGTTCTCTAAGTAGAAAAGGTGATGCTGTTGATTAGGGCAAAATAAATCAGCAAATACAAAGCACGTCGGATAATGACCAGTGGTATAGTGAACTAACCATATGCTTTTCATTAGAGTAAAATGTCATTACATTTTACATACTAATCAATAGTTGTATTTACCATGACGCCTTGGATGGCATTCTTTGCTACGCTCTCGAGTTCTTTTCCCCCGAGCATCCTGTTCCAGAAGGTTTGTGTGGTTACTGCTGTTCTGCTAAATGACACATTCATCCAGTGCTTTCGGAAAGATACAATGTATGTTCACTGCCCTTGAACTGACGCGTCAGAAAGCCTCTGTGTCTTCCAGAGAACATCCTCCCAGGCGGGCAGTGCCATCCTCTGCGCTGGCGCGCGCGGGAGGCGAGGGAGCAGGGCGGGAGCTGCGGGGTCATTGGGGGCGCCTTGGGGCGCGGCTGGCCTCTGAAGGCTGGAACCCCGCGGGTGTCTGTGCAGGCAGCATTGAGATGAAGCCCTGAGCCGCCTCGGGTGAAAATGGGGGCCCCACTTTCCAGAGGGGACCCTCAATCAGTATTTTTTGCACCCCACTTGTTCAAGGTTCTCCACGGGAGGGGTATGCCAGATCGTTGCATTCTGGCTTCATTGCAACAGCTTGTGTGAAGTCCTCCTGCCTGGAGACCTTCGGTCAGGGAGAGGCTGTAGGGCAGGAGGGTTACGGTGAAGGAGAGGGGCTGGGGCCCTCTTCACGTCCCGGTGTCTTGAAGTTTTGTCTTTGGGTCTCATAACTTTCCTACTTGGAGAGTAAATGAGAGAATGTGAACCAAAAAGAGTTGTTTTTTTTTTTAATTTGCAAACTATTTTTATTTTGGAGTTTGATTTCAGGAGGGAACAGAGTGGGGGGGGGAATGGAGAGCCTTGGGAACTGCCTAGTTTCTCCTAGGACAGTTCTGCCCAGCCTGGGTGACTACATGACAACGAGACATGAACTCAGCACATCCAACAGTCCTGTCGCCATGTGGATGTTTCTGAAAGACATAGTTTGTCATTTGGATTTACCCACACCTGTTTCCCTATTAGTATAAAGACTCTTTTTTTTTCTTTCTTTATTGATTTTAGAGAGAGGAAGGAAGAGAGATAGAAACATAGATGAGAGAGAACATCGATGGGCCGCCTCCTGCATGCCCCCCACTGGGGATGGGCCCACAACCTGGGCATGTGCCCTGACCGGGAATCGAACCGGCGACCTCTTGGTGCAGGGTTGACGCTCACCCACTGAGCCACAGCGGCCGGGCAGAGGAGAACTCATTCTCAATCCCCTGAGTTCACACTTCACCCCTCTGGGCGCATTCAGCACCGAGTGTGTCCCCACACGCCTGGGAGCTCGGCGCCGTGCTCTCGCCGAGGCAGTGAGTGTGCCGCTGCCAGGGCGTGGCTGCTGCCCCCGGCAGTTGGGAGGAGGGCTGAGGGGCTCGTGGGAAAAGGGACCCAATGACGCGCTGTTGACACGGAAGCCGGTGTCCTTTAGCCTTGTCGAGTGGGCGGCCGTGGGCAGTGCTGGGCGCGGTGGACAGCGTGAAGGAAGTCCAGGTCTAGGAGACACTCGAGTGGCCGAGTGGGGGCTGTGGCCACTGCGACCTCGTGGTGGTGCCTTGGTGCCCGGGACGCGGTCAGCGAGCTGGGACAGTCAGGGTGCCGAAGGGTGTCTCCCTCTCTGACTCCCTGCAGACTGGCGCCGTCTCACGTCCCCGGGCCAGGCCTGCGCGCTGCTGAGGGCCCGGGACACATTCCCGCTCCACGCGCCGAAACACTGTTCGCGTCGTGCGTTTCCCTGAGCCAAATTTGGTAGCAGTACTTTTGTCTAAGTTGAGGGTGAGGGTGGGTAAGGAAGACTTGAGAGAGAGACTTTCAAAGGGAAAAGATGACAGGAATATCAGGATTACATGTTTCCCCCCATCATTTCATGGTGCAAATTTATGTAAATCAAGGAAATAATAGGGAAGATATGCTTCAGTTACCTGCTCTGGGTTCCAGAAAGAATTACTTTCCATAGGTAGCGAGGGGTCCCACCTCAGTGCGTAATGATGATGATGGTGACGATGGCGACGGGCTGCCCAGTACTGCCCACCCGGGCGCCGCTCGGGCTCCACGGGAGCCAGCAGTAGAGGCCGCGGCTCGGACCGCGGGGCGCGTGGGTGAGCGGCGGGCAGCCGTGCCTGCTTCCACCTGACTCCCCAGTGGTGCCACGGAGGGGGGAGCTCGAGGAGAATGAGTCCGCGGGATAATGCAAAGCCACGGCCCCTAGTCGGGGTGCAGAGAGCATGTAGAAGGCTGGGAGCAGGAAGGGCATCCGGCCTGCAGTCACGGCGGCCCCGGAGGCCCCGGCAGGCCCTGAGGTGAGGGACCCTGCGCTGCCTCACGGGGGCCAAGCCACTGCCTGGAGAATGAGCTCAGCCACGCCGCGTCCCCCCGCTTTCTTCCTCCCCCGTGTCTTCTGTGCCTGTGTTACATGTGACTATTGGAAATAAAAAGAAGTTCCACAGATCAACTCAGCTGCGGAGCAATGAAGAAAGGTGACAGGTGCTTGGTGTGTTTCAGGGCCCAGCACCTCAGGGGAGCCGGCCAGAGAGCTCCGTGACCTTTAATCCCTACGAGCCAGAGGCGGGACCCTGGGCTTCGGAGAGAGGTGAGAGCCCTCGCCAGCCCCCCTGTGGGCTGGGGCTGGGGCTGGCACAGCGGTTGCACAGACACCCTCGCGGGGAACCGCTGCTCCTTCTGAACTTTGCACCTTCCGCCCGCCGGCACCGCTCTGGGGCCCCATCCGAGGTGTGCCCTGCAGACGTGGGCGCCCCGTGGGGGGCGCGAGGGAGCGGCGGCTGTGTGAGGCCCTGAGGCGCAGCTCGGGGCCATCACCTCGATGGCCTCAGCATCCCTCTGCTGGACCTGTGGCCGAAACGGGGCCTCTGATGACCTTCTCGGGTTCTCCCAGTGACTCCAGCCAGGTTTTTATTGGTGAACTTGGTCTGTTTCTTGCTACAAAAGCCACCCTAAAACTTAGTATCTTAAAACAACAACAGTGACTTCATGGATGTCTCCTTTGATTCTCTGGTGCAGGTCGTGAGAGTGGGCAGGGCCCGGCTGGGCGGTTGTGGGTCAGGCCCCGCAGTCACACTGGGCCCAGGGAGTACAGGCCATGGTGAGGCGGGCCTGGGGGCTGGCCCCGTCTGCCTGTCCCCCCTCAGTCTTGGGGCCTCTCTCCTGGTCCTTCCACATGACTCGCTGCCTCACAGGTAGACGGTGTCAGCGGTGGGCTCTGGTGTGCCGACGGAAGCTTCCGGAGCCACATACCTAGCACACAGCCTTTTCGGACCCCTCCTGAGGAGGCCAGAGACATCCCTCTGACAGACTGTTAGTTGACACAGTTAGAAAGGCCACCGAGGGGAGGGGAGGCAGACCCCCCCTCTCAGTGGAAGGAGGGTCAACATTTCAGAAGGAGTTGAAGTCTCCACAGCCCAGGAGGAGGGCCCTGTCCACGTTTGCTTCTGACATGAAAGACTCCATGTTAATGAACATAACGCAAGGCTGGGGTCAATACAGTGAGCATGAGGGGCTTTTGGCTGCCCCCCTACAAGCTGGGTGAGACCCTGTCTTGAGTGCTCACCAGCACCGTAACTACCCAAAGATCTCGAAAGGGAAGCTGCGACCACCCCGGAGGTAGGAGTGGCAGAGAGGAGGTTCTCCCTGGGGACCCCCCCAGTCTGGGCCTCCTGACTCTGTTGCAGAAGCCCAGAGGGAAGCCATGCCCATGGACACGGAGGTGTATGAGAGCCCCTACGCGGACCCGGAGGAGATCCGGCCCAAGGAAGTCTACCTGGACCGGAAGCTGCTGACCCTGGAGGACAAAGAACTGGGCTCCGGTAACTTTGGCACCGTGAAGAAGGGTTTCTACCAGATGAAAAAGTGAGTTAAAGCTTCATACCCCATCACCCACGCTCACTCTCGTGCGCGTGCGTGCTGGAAACGACTGTGAACCAAACATTACACGTGTTTAACCCGAACACCAAACGCAACTCACCAGGGCTGCACCTCTTTTTTTTTAATCCTCACCCGAGGACCTTTTTTTTTTTGCATTTATCTTCAGATAGAGCAGGAGAGAGAGAGGGAGGAAGAGAGAGAGAGAAAACAATCGATGTGAGAGAGACACATCGACTGGCTGCCACCTGCACGACCCCAACCAGGATCGGGGACAAACTGCAACCGAGCTACATGCCCTGAGCAGGAACCAAACCTGGGACTCCCTGGTCCACGGGACGACACTCTAACCGCTGAGCCAAACTGGCCAGGGCTGCACTTCTTTTTATTAACAGTATAATGTTTGCTGATTTCTGATACAGTCACCATGCAAACATTCATTATGTATGTTAAGAAGGTATATAGTAATTATATAAGGTAGTTTGGACATTTTACATAAGTTTTATAGATGTAGAAAATAGGAATAAGCAACATGTAAGGATATAAAAATGTCATGTTTGTACCACCCAAATACCGCTATTGTTAAGTAACCCGTGTGTGTGTGCATATGATCTTTATATGCACACACACACACGTGTTATTTAATTAAAATGCAGTCATTCACTAACAGTGTTATTGACTTGTTGTCTTTGATTTTTTTTTTTTTATCCTTACCCAAGGACATTTTTGCATTTATCTTTAGGTAGAGCAGGAGGGAGAGAGGGGGGAAGAGAGAGAGAGAGAAACATCGATGTGAGAGAGACACATTGACTGGTTGCCACTCACATGACCCCAACCAGGCCCAGGGACTAACTGCAACCAAGGTACATGCCCTTAGCGGGAACTGAACCCGGGTCTCTCTAGTCTGCGGGCCGATGCTCTGATGAGCCAAACCAGCCAGGGCGAATTTTTTTTAAATTGGGTCTCATTTCTCTGACCCAGAAAATGTCTTATTTCAAATATCATTAGTATAATTATTTATTTGCTTTATCCTATCATTTCAAATAACAGTACATATTATACAACAATGAGAACTGCCAAACGACTGACACCTCTTGGCACCGCCTCTGTCCTTGAAAGGCATCCCACATAGAACGATCAGTAAAAGTGCTGGCTTCTGCAGTCCGTTGGCACAGACCCTCTGTGTCTGAATCACTATGTTACTGATATGAATAACGCTGGTTTTGTTGTTACGTCCTATTTTAAATCTAAGGAATTTTTGTCATTTTTTTGAGTGGGTCATTAACATGATTCAAGGGTCAAGAATATAGAGAAAAGTAGGCACAAAACATCTTGCTTTCAAAGCTATTTCTTCCACGTGTCTCTATGTGTGTGTGTGTTTTAAATATATATATAGTCTGGCTGGTGTGGCTCAGTGGTTGAGCGTCAACCCTGCACTAAAAGGTCACTGGTTTGATTCCCAGTCAGGGCACATGCCCAGGTTGTGGGCTGATCCCCACTGGGGGGCGTGCAGGAGGCGGCCAGTCGATGTTCTTTCTCATCGATGTTTCTATTTCTCTGTATCTCTCCCTTCCTCTCCAAGATCAATAAAGGAAATATACATGTGTGTGTGTGTGTGTGTATACATATATATATACACACACACATATATATACACACCCCAGTCATTTTCTAAAATGGGCTTAAATTATCCTGCATGAAAGTGTACATTTTCACAACTAGTTTGTGATAGTTACGTTTCTGGTTTCACTGTCTATGTAAATTCTCATAGACATGATTCTAGATACATACATTAAACTAGAGGGTTTGGGGAGAAGCAAGGCCCACGGGTCAACTTGGGCCATAATGAGGTCTTCACGATCTCGAGTCTTCCAATCCATAGACATGACCAGCCCTCCACTAACCTGAGTCACTTACATCCCGCTCAGCAGAGCTTAGTTCTCTGTGTCGAGGGTTTGCACGACGTTTTGGGGCTGGATTCATGTGTACGCATTAAGTACTTCGGATGTCGATATGTATGGTATAATTTTTAAACTTTTATTTGCGTATCCTTGGTGTCGGTTGAATACGGAAACAGCTGGCTTTGCCCGTTGACCTCATACCTGGCCACCTTGCTAAATTCATCTCCCATTTCTCACTTGTCGTTTCTAAGAGATTATCTGTGCCGTCTTTCACCCAGAACTGTGTCATCTATGAACAGGTTTTATTTCATTCTGCTTAGTCCGTATACATGTTGTGTTCCTCCTTGCCTTGTTTGTTAGCCAGGCACTGTGGGTAGTGCAGGGTGACAGACGCTGTCCCTCCTCATCCAGGTTTCAGGGGGAAACTTGCGGTGTCTCATCAGGTTTGTAGCTGCTATGTTTTTATCATTGTTTTTTTCTTTATTGATTTTAGAGAGAGAGAAAGGGAGAGGGAGAGAGAGATAGAAACATCCATGAGAGAGAACACCGGTTAGCGGCCTCCTGCACGCCCCCCACTGGGGATCAGGCCCACAACCTGGGCGTGTGCCCTGACTGGGAATCGAACCAGTGATCTCCAGTTGCATAGGTCACCGCTCAGCCACGGAGCCCCAGAAGCCGGGCTGTAGCTATGGAACTTAAGAAAGTTTCCCTTTATTCTTACTTTTCTGAGATTTGTTTTTAATCATGTACGTGTATTCTATTTTATTGAATACTTCCTTTCTGCTGCTGGGATAGACTTAGCTTTTCTCCTGTATTATGTAATGTGGTAAATTATACACTGATTGATTTTATTTTCATTTTACACTTTTAATCCTGACCTGAGGATATGTTTATTGATTTGAGAGAGAGATGTGAGAGAGAAACATCCGTCTCCCATATGTGCCCCAACAGGTCGAACCCGCAGCCTTATTTGTGCCCAGACAATGCTCCAGCCTGCTGAGCCACCCAGCTGGGGTACACTGATTGGTTTTCAAATATGAAACCCATCTTGCACTCCTGGAATAAACTCATGTTGTCCATGGGTTATATATTCATTTCTTTTTTTATAACTCACTGAAATTTCTATTATTTCTCATAGAAATGTTGCATCTGTGTTCAGTAAGTTACTTAGAATTTCTTTGTCTGGTGTTGGCATCAGGGTGATGCTGGCCGTATAAAAATGAGTCGGGCCCTGGCCAGTTTGGCTCAGTGGTTAGAGCATCAGCCCACAGACCGGAGAGTCCCAGGTTCGGTTCCCGCTAAGGGCACGTACCTCGGTTGCAGTTTGTCCCCGGCCCCGGTTGGGGTCATATGAGAGGCAACCAGTTGATGTGTCTCTCTCACATTGATGTTTCTCTCTCTCTCTCTCTCTCTCTCCTTCCTTCTCTCCCTCTCACTCCATATGAAGATAAATCCTCAGGTGAGGATAGAAAAAAAATGAGTCATGAAGTTTCCTTCCTCTTCCGTCCTGGATGAGGCTGCGGGTGTTATTTTTTTCCTTAATCATTGGGAAGAATCATGAGATTTTTGCTTGTTAATTTTGGCCCCTCCTTCACACCATACACATAACCAGACATGTGCGGGGAAAACAGCGAACTGTGTGGAGAAGCGCAGGGCAGTATGTCCCTGGTCTCGGAGGGGGCGGGGTGGGGGCTGGGGTGCTGCCTGTTCCTCCCGCTGTGCAGGCCCTAAGCCTGGGCGCGCCCGGTGGGACCTCCCCTGCGTTCTGCGCCGCCCGCCCTGCCTGTCCGGGCCTGTGGCAGGCCTGCTCTGCTGTTCTCCTGTCTGTTTCAGTCGACAGATCTTGTTTTATTCTCCCATGTTGGAGTCAAGAAGAGGCATGCTTTCTGCATTTGTTGGAATCCTATCACAGGGAAATGCAGTTTCAGATCACAGTCATTAAGTTCCATCCGTTACGTGAGTCCTGCACTGGTAGGATGTTCAAGAGTCCGGCATGAGCTGTGTGATGTTTTATTAGAAACAAGACACAGCGCATTTGGGGGCACACTTAAAATTCACAAAGTGCAGTGTCAAGTGTCTCTTTTCATTCCTGCATCTTCGTATCCAAGAAGCGTGGTCTTCACAGGCACTGCACCTACCCAAGATGGGAAATGTCAAAATGGTGCAAGAACCCACTTAGGTCATGGTGCGTAAGGTCTACTTGAGAATTATCTACATATTCTGTCAGACGAGGCTTTCTGCTCGGTGGGGACACTCTGCACCACCACCCTGGGAGACCCCATTACTTTTTTTTTTTTAATCCTCACCCAAGGACATTTTTGCATTTATCTTCAGATAGAGCAAGAGGGAGAGAGGGACGAAGAGACAGAAACATCGATGTGAGAGAGACACATCAAGTGGTTGCCACCCACATGACCTCAACCGGGGCCGGAGACAAACTGCAACCGAGGCACGTGCCCCTAGCGGGAACCGAACCCGGGTCTCTCTGATCCGCGGGCCGACGCTCTAACTGCTGAGCCAAACCGGCCAGGGCAACCCCATTACTTTTAACTCGTCAAGTGCTCCTCTCTTTGTCTGTAACGTGACAGGACATTGTTGGAAAACTGGTCACGTGTCACGTGGCTTCTCACGATGCATGTCCTCTCTGTCGACGTTATTTGAGTAGTGCTTTTCTAAGAGGTATTTAACTGAGAAGAGAGCCACCTGGAAGAGTTTCCCACGTGCCCTGATTCCTTCCGCAGGGGTGTGAAAACGGTGGCCGTGAAAATCCTGAAGAACGAGGCCAACGACCCGGCGCTGAAGGACGAGCTGCTGGCGGAGGCCAACGTCATGCAGCAGCTGGACAACCCGTACATCGTGCGCATGATCGGCATCTGCGAAGCCGAGTCCTGGATGCTGGTCATGGAGATGGCGGAGCTCGGTCCGCTCAACAAGTATCTGCAGCAGAACAGGTATCTGGGGCCCCCGATGCCGGTACTGCGAGGGGCAGGGCCAGCTGCCGGCCGCAGTGCAGCCTGGCTTCTTCGGAGAGGCCCTCTCCTCCCTCCCGGGGCCTGGCGAGGAGGGACGCGGCTGTGGCTTTGGATCGGTGTTTTCAGCTCCTGTAGCACACGCACAAAAGCCTCTCTGGAGCACTGTGGTGTTCATTGTCCTTTGCTCGCTCTGCTGGCCCAGGGGCAGAATGAGCTGGGGAATATCTTGGTAGCCAGTGTCACCGCACTAGGAGAAACATGCTTTTCACAAGGATAAGGGACGTTTTACAAGGCTCAGTGATCTCTTCGTCGTCTGGCGGACCTCTCCATCCCCACGAGGAACTGCTCCTGAAGACATCCATTGCTGTGCTCCAATCTAAAGCCGTTGTTGACTGGCCGGTGGGGCTCAGTGGTTGAGTGTCGACCCTGCACCAAGAGGTCGCCGGTTCGATTCCCGGTCAGGGCACATGCCCAGGTTGTGGGCCTGATCCCCAGTGGGGGGCGTGCAGGAGGCAGCCAGTCCATGTTCTCTCTCATGATGTTTCTCTCTCTCTCTCCCTCTCCTTTCCTCTCTCTCTCTCTAAAAAAATGAAAAAAAAATTTAAAGCCATTGTTGAGATGGAAGAACATGTGTGAGATACTCATAATAATAGCTACTGGTTACTTGATCTCATTTGCTACATTGTGTTTGTACTTAGATTGTGTATTTCGTCTCCATAGAAGGGAGGTGTTACTCACACCTCCCAGGTGGAAAACTGAGACGGGTTGGTTTGGTTGTCTGTCCAATATCACAACAAGGGTTCCAGCTGAAGCCCGGCTCGTCTTCGGCCAGGTCTGACCAGCCTAGTATGCAGTTCAAAGCCTTGGAACTGTACCAGTTGAACACTAGGAGAATGCTGTTCACTTGGAACCGCTGTAGGGTAACAAGGTGATTTGTCATCGTCCGCAAATCTTGCCTAGGAAGAGTAGGAAAGGAGAGGACCTGTGTTCCGGCTATGAGGAGCCAGTCGGTTCCGCAACGACTGTCACTAATGACGCACTTGACTTGCAGGCACGTCAAAGATAAGAACATCATCGAGCTGGTCCATCAGGTTTCCATGGGAATGAAGTATCTGGAGGAGTGCAATTTTGTACACAGAGATCTGGCTGCAAGAAATGTATTGCTTGTTACTCAACATTATGCCAAGATCAGTGACTTTGGACTTTCCAAAGCACTTCGTGCCGATGAAAACTACTACAAGGTAGGAGCGACTGAGCTGGTGTTCAGGACAACAGATAGTAAAAATCTGAAATGCAAATGTATCTCTTTTACATGATCATGGTGGGGTTTCCGGAAGCAATTTTCCTATTTAAAATTAATTATGCAAAAGAAGTGTTCTTCTTAAACTTGGATTCTATTGTTAAAAATGGAAATACTGGAATATATCACAACTTGAGATTTGCTCAGCATAGTCTCTTCCAAAAGATGTTCCTTGGGACAACAGAGAATCCACAATTAAGTATCAGAAAGAGAAATTAAGGAAACAATCCCATTTACAGTTGCAGCAAAAGGCATAAAAACTGTGTAGGGATACTTTTAACCAAGGAGGTGAAAGACCTCTCCTCAGTGAGCTATCACCTCACTCCTGCCAGAGTGGCTGCTATTCACAGACAAGAAATACCAAGTGTCAGGGACGGGGAGGGAAGGGGACATGCGTGCGCTCTGGGTGGGGTGTGGATCAGCGTAGCCTCTATACAAAGTAGTATGGTGGGTCCTCAGAGAATCGAGAATAGAGTTGGCCTGTGAGCTAATAATCTCACTTCTGCGTGTTTTTCTGAAGGAAATACCATCACTGTCTGCTAGGGAGATCTGTCTATCCATGTTGATTGCAACATTATGTACAGTGGTCAAGATTTGGAAACAACCTAAATATCTGTCAGTGGATAAATGGATACAGAAATGCACACGCACACGCACACACACACACTATTCAACTACTAAAAAGAAAGAAATACTGCCCTGACCAGTTTGGCTCAGTAGTTAGAGTGTCGGCCCACGGACCAGGGAGTCCCGGGTTTGGATCCCGCTAAGGGCACGTACCTCGGTTGCAGTTTGGCCCCGGCCCCGGTTGGGGTCGTGTGGGTGGCAACCATTCGATGTGTCTCTCTCACATCGATGTTTCTCTCTCTCTCTTCTTCCTTCTCTCCCTCCCACTCTATCTGAAAATAAATGCAAAAATGTCCTCGGGTGAGGGAAAGAAATGCTACCATTTGCAACAACATAGATGATACTGAGTGAAATACGTCAGACAGAAAAAGACAAATATTCTGTCATCTTACTGATGTGTGAAATCCAAAAACACTGAGCACATTGCAACAGGGTAGACTGCGGGGCAGGGAAGTGGACGGAGGTGGTACAGCCCCCAGCTGTCCGACGAGGAAGTTCTGGGAGCTGATGTACAGCATGGTGTCTACAAGTAACAGCACCGTGTTACAGACTTGGAAATTGCTAAGAGGGTATATACCACCTGTTCTCACCATGACAACCGCGAAGGCCACTATGTCAGGCAAAGGATGTGCCGCCGACATTGTTACTGTGAACCGTCCACCACAGGCTCCTCAAATCACCCTGTTGTCCGAAACCTAAAAGCCAAGTGAGAATGTGCAAAAGCAGACGGCACCCTCAAAGAAGCTGGTGACACGGAGGAGGATTTTTCTTAGGAAAACAAAGCAAAATGAGATGGAAAGAAAACGTTGACAGGATGGGAGAGTGAGGACAGTGCGGGAAGCGAAGCGCGTGGCCCTCGGAGACCCAGCGCCAGGCTGCAGACGCACGCGCGCCCCGGGCGCTGTTCGCGCGGGGCACAAGGCCGCCCGCCCGGCGCACTGCTCTGCGAGGCCGTGTCTTTGCACACTGAGGGTCTGGTGACTGCGCCTTGCGAGTCTCGCGGCACCGCTTTTCCAGCCGCAGTCGCTCGCTCTGTGCCTCTGGGTCACTTTGCGGTGATTCCTGCCACATTTAAACTTTCTCATTATTTTTATTTTTGCTTTGAGGATCTGTGGGCAGTAATATTTGATGTTACTCTTTTCTTTAAAATATTTTTTCTTTATTGTTTTTAGAGAGAGAGGAAGGGAGAGGGGGAGAGAGAGAGAAACATGGATGAGAGGGAACATCGATGGGCCGCCCCCTGCATGCCCCCCACTGGGGATCAGGCCCACAACCTGGGCGTGTGCCCTGACCAGGAATCAAACTGGTGACCTCCTGGTGCAGGGTCGACGCTCAACCACTGAGCCACACCGGCCAGGCTGATGTTACTCTTATAACTGCTTTGGAGCAACGTGAATTGCACCCACATGAGACAGCAGACTTGATCCATGCTGGGTGTGTTCCGATTGCTCCGGCGACCAGCCCTCCCCCCCCTTCTCTGCGACCCTCCCTGCTTCCAAGACACCACAGTGTGGAACTCAGACCCATCATGAACCCCGCAGCTGCCTCTGCAGCTGTCAGAGAGCGAGTCCTCCGATGGATCTGGGCAAGGGGACGGAAAACCTCCGATGTCCCTGAGAACATTCACGAGTCATGGGAAGAGGTCAGACTATCAGCAGTACCAGGAGTCTGGAGGAAGGTGATGGAGACCGCGAGGGGCTCCAGCTTCAGAAGAAGAGGTTGCCACAGGTGTGGCAGAGACGGCAGAGACCGAGGGTGAGCCAGGAGTCCGCAGATGGGGTACACGGCCGCAGTCTCCAGTGAGACTTTCAGGGTGACAGCTGCGTCTCGTGGACGAGCACGGAAGCGGAGTCTTGACCTGGAATCGACTCCTGACGGAGACACTGTGAAGCGTGTTGAGAGGACAGCACAGGCTTCGGAATGATGTGTAGCCTTAGCTGGTGAAGCAGCACAGGTTTGAGACCGGACCCCAGCTCCGGGAGTCCTGGCACAGACTGCTGCCATGCACCAGGCGCTGCAGAGACGCCGTCGAGCAAGGAGGTCGGTCCACGCGGCGGACTTCACCGCTGCCCAGGTTCAAGGCATTGCCACAGAAGCCCCCCTCGCCCAGCTTCAGCGGCCCCACCCTGACCAGCCAGGACCATCACCATGGAGCCAAGCCCCCACGGCAGCGAGGGCCACTCACTGAAGCCTGGTTACCACACTCTGGCAATAAAGGGTTTTAGTTAAGGTATAAACATGGTTCCTTCAGGCTCACTGCGCTTGCACACTCAGTAGACTACAACGCAGTGTGAATATAACTTTTATATGCTCAGGAAACCAGAAAGTTCACGTGACTCTCTTTTTGGTTTTCTTTTTTAATTTTTTTTTTTCTTTATTGCTTTTAGAGAGAGAGGAAGGGAGAGGGAGAGAGAGAGAGAAACATCGATGAGAGAGAATATCAATTGGCCGCCTCCTGCACGCCCCCCACTGGGGATCCAGCCCACAACCTGGGCCTGTGCCCTGACTGGGAATCGAACCAGCGACCTCTTTTTTTTTTTTTTTTTTTTTTTTTTTTATATTTTGTTCAGGTAGAGTGGAAGGGAGAGAGAGAGAAACATCGACGTGAAAGGGACACATCGAGTGGTTGCCACCTGCACGACCCAACCAGGGCCGGGGGCAAACCGCAACCGAGGCACATGCCCTTAGCGGGAACCGAACCCGGGTCTCTTCTGACCGCAGGCCGACGCTCCAACCGCTGAGCCAAACCGGCCAGGGCAAACCGGCGACCTCTTGATGCAGGGTCACGCTCAGCCACGGAGCCACACCGGCCAGGCAGTGTGACTCTTCACTGTGGCGGCCTGGAGCTGAGCTGTGGTGTCTCCAGTCTGCCTTCCGTGCCGTCAGTGATGTTCACTGTAGCCTGATGCGTGATGACGAAGACCAGGAGGCCACCTCAGGGGCTGTCAGTGGGAGGCTGGTTACATTAATTGTAGGAGATTCGTATGTAGCATACAATGAACTCTTCTAAAAGTGACTTTATTTACACGTACTGACAGAAATATATCTAAGATGCATAGTTAAGCAGAAAATATTAGCAGTAAAGTGCAAAAAGGATAAGCCCCTAATTTGATTATCCTCCTAAAAGTATATGTTCACTATTGATATGTGTATCTGTACTTTTCTGGAAGGATCCGGAGAAGCTGCCGAGCGTGGTTGTCTCTGTAGACCAGAATTTAGAGGGGTGGCGAACAGAGACAAACCATTCATCATATATAAGATTTGTGCAAGGTTAATCTTACTATAAGTTCACAATTCAGAATAAACTTGAAATAACATGTATGACTATATTGTACACTTTTGAAATGAAAATCTAAGAATAATGCATCACATGAATGAGACAGAGGTAGGGCCAATGTGTCCCACGGAGAACTACTACCTATGGTCTCTGCTCCATGTCACCCACTTGCCCCTCCTAACCCACTTTAGGGCAAGTCACCCCCTCCCTCTGCCCCGGGAGACTTCACCCAGATCCAAGTGACACCCTCAGGAGGCAGCAGGGCTTACCCGCACCCACTGAACCCCAAGCCCCAGAGGAAAGGGCTTTGGTGTGAACACGTTTTCTCTCTTTACTAATGCTTTTTATTTATTTATTTTAAAATATGCTTTTATCGATTTTTTTAGAGATAGAGGAAGAGGGAGAGAGATAGAAACATCGAGGTGAGAGAGAAACATGATCAGCCGCCTCCTGCACGCCCCCCACTGGGATCGAGCCCACGACCCAGGCATGTGCCCTGACCGGATCACACCCGGACCTCTCTGTCCACGGGACGGCACTCAGTCCACTGAGCCCCACCAGCCGGGCGACTCGTACTTTTTAAATTAGGAAATGTGAGCCAGTTTAAAATGGCACTAGTAGACAGTCTATGCCAAAGTAATTAGTGTTGACTTAAAACTATGGACAAGTGTTCCTGAGGACAGCCCTACACCCGGAGCCAGGACGAGGTACTCAGCTCGACCTTCGTACTGTACAGCTCACGAAGCCGCCAGAGGGCGAGCTGAGAGAACGGCCCAACGATACAAGGAAATCTATCCTTGTATCTATCCTTTTTAAAATGAAAAGTTTGAGATTTTAGGATTTGATCGGAAGTGTAAGATCCAGACCAAACACACACACACGTGTATGTGCGCACACGGCAGCCCATGAGTCATGATCTCATCCTTTCAAGTTGTGGTAAAACACCCTGAACATAAGTTTTACCATCTTACTGTTTTCAAGATGACCATTCAGTAGCGGTAAGTACATTCACTTTGTGTACAGCTAATCTCCAGAATCGTTCCCAACTTCTCCAACTGAAACTGTACTCATCAAACACAAACTCCCGCCGGCCATGTGGCTCAGTGGCTGAGCGTCGACCCTGCACCAAGAGGTCGCTGGTTTGATTCCCGGTCAGGACACATGCCCAGGTTCTGGGCTCGATCCCTAGTGGGGGGCGTGCAGGAGGCGGCCAGTCCATGTTCTCTCTCATCGATGTTTCTTTCTCCCTTCCTCTCTCTCTAGTCAATAAAGAAAATAATTTAAATAAAATAAACACAAACTTCCCATTCCTCCTTTTCAACCCAGCCCCTGGTGACACTGTTCTACTTTCTGTCTCGTCATTGGACTACTCGGAGGCCCTCGGAGGCGTAGGCCCTCGGATGGTATTTGCCCTTTTGTGACCAGACAGGCCCGTCTCACTCAGCATAGGGATATGAGTCAGAACCCTTCCTTCACAAGGCGGAGTGACACTCCACTTATGGGGGGCCCCATTCTGTGTGTCCACTCCTCCGCCAGTGGCCCTCGGGCGGCTGCCGCCTCCTGGCCCGTGCACGGTGCCGCCCTGAGCGCGGGCGGCAGGACGGCCCGTCACGGAGCCCGTGTCCTCGCTCGCAGGCGCAGACCCACGGGAAGTGGCCGGTGAAGTGGTACGCCCCGGAGTGCATCAACTACTACAAGTTCTCCAGCAAGAGCGACGTCTGGAGCTTCGGGGTGCTCATGTGGGAAGCGTTCTCCTACGGGCAGAAGCCGTATCGGGTCAGCCCCTGCTCTCCTGTCCTCGCTGCTCTGCAGCCGTCGGAACAGACGGGCCCCGGTTCTCGTTGAGGACCCCGAGAACCGCAGCCCGGCATCCTTCCGAGTCCTTGGCTATTTCTTGACAGTTCATACGACCTCCGTTTATTCTAAAGAAACATGTCATGTTAACCGAACAGTATATCTTTTTTTCATTATATGTTACGCATGTAACCATGCATAAAATATACCCAAATCAACCTTATTTAAAGTTAAAATAGATATAATGGCTCTCTCTAGTTATCAAATTGGCAGTTCATTATTTTTTGAGATTTTTAAAAAAATCAAAGTACACATACGAAAAAGTACACAGATGCCAGGGTTCAGCTGGAAAACCTCCACAAATGGAACGTGGCCATGCAACCAGCCCCCCAAAGCCACAGAGCCTGCATCCCCTCCCCCCAAGGGTAACCTTTCCTGAATTCTAGATGGTAGGTTAGGTGTGCCAGATTTTGTACTTTTTATCATTGAAACTGCTCTTCATGGACTCCCTTGTTTCTTGGTGGGGATGCGGGATGGGATGTGTTTGTGTCTCTTTTTTTGCCGAATGTTATGTTTAAATAACTTAGGTATGTTTTGCATGTTTCAGGGGATGAAAGGAAGTGACGTTTCCGCCATGCTGGAGAAAGGAGAGAGGATGGGGTGCCCCGTGGGGTGTCCGAGAGAGATGTATGAGCTTATGAACCTGTGCTGGACTTACGAGTGAGTACCCACCCTCCCGACGCTCGGAGGAATGCAGGCTGTCTGGGCTCTAAGGAAGCATGAATTCTGTCTTCCCACGAGGCAGGCTGCACTGCCTTCTCAACAAACAGCAGCGGAGAGGTCGTGCTTTCTGGACCCTGCGCTTCTACTCTTGAGTCTAAAACACAAGTTGAGACGATCGTTCTCATCAAAATGTAAATGTAGGTAATGTTGGCAGGGGTGGTGGCAGAAGTAGAAAGATGTTCCTAAGAGTCTGATCTTAGACAGACAGAGGATGGCAGAGGTACTGAGGGGAAATACCTGCTTTCCCAGTTCCCAGCCGCCTTGAGGAGTGGGCGTGGCCACGGATGCTGGCAAGAGAGGCTCCTGAGACGCACCTCAGACCTGGGAGCCCTGGCCCTCAGAGTCTGCCCAGCACTGCGATGCCCCTGCCTGCAGCAAACACCATCTCAGGGCGCTCAGCAGGACGGGAAATCCTTCTCACCTGGGAAATGGGCCTTGCCAGCCTGTGAGGGCAGCGTGGGGAGCCCCGAGCATGGCCCTGAACCTCTGGCATTGCTGTGTGCGGTTTGGCAACAGTGCCGGTCTGTAATCAGGAGGAGCTCATATATTTGCAATAGATTTAATCACTCGAGGATCAGTTTTGCTCTGAGACCCCCAGCTGGGAATGCAGGAGCATCCTGAGGATGAGAGACCTTGCAGTGTCTCAGCCTGCCAGGGGTCTGCGCAACGCTGTGAGCTACAAGCACTTGCTGGTAAGAGTGAGGGGAGCATTGCAAGGGAGTAAAGGCTCCAGATCTCTGGCTGCAGCCCAATTTATTTGCAGAGTGGTTCCCCAGGTTACATGTTGATTAGGTCATTATTTCCTTGAGATGGTGCCTCTGCTGACCATTCAGCCAAGCCCTGTCTCTTGCTTTTTGCAGCAAAGAAACATCAAATATTTTTTTAAAAATAACAAATCCAACCTCGCCTGGGCTTAGTAACCCATTATCCTCTTGGGGAGGTCTTCCAACCCTTTAACATGCAAATCTTATCTATTTACATGCAAACAAAACATTCAGTTCCAAACAGGACCATCTTCCTGCCCTCCAGGCAAACCTGTCTGTCCACACACACTTTGATCCTGGGCTGCCCAGGTCGCGAGAATGCACATCACAAGGCTACATTGTGTTCATCCACAGCTGGGGGTGCAAGGGAAGGATCTCATTGTTGTCTCAAAACAGCCTGGGGTCAGCCCCAAGAACAGACAGGTAGTATGTCCAGTTGCTGCTGCTGACCTTGTTCAGAGAAAGGCCCTTTCGATATCATAGGTGCCTGTCTGGGCCCTGGGGGACTTCGTGAACCTGGGTTGTTTGTGCTGAAGGGGTATCAGTGTGCTAGCAAGAGAAAAAGGCTAGAAATAGATTTTAGGTGGGGAATGTCCATTCTTTGAAGTCTTGACTAAACCCCTCCCCCACCAGGGCCCAAACTAGAATCATTAAAATTATCAACAGGTAGGTCACAGCCATTTTCAAAATGGATCTCAAAGGTCAGGCTAGGAACTTCGTTCAGACAGACGACAGACGACCCTGAGGGATGGTACAGACCTGACCTTGCCCCGGGCACCTGTGCTGATCCAAGCCCCAGCTCTCCTGCTGTGAGGTGCCTGTGAAAGGCAGGGCAGAGGATGGAAGCACCCTCTCCTCTGAGACCTCCCCAGAACCCCCGAATGAGGGCAGGCCTCACGCTCTCTTTGCAGCGTCTGATTCCGTAACATCACGGAGAGCGGCCCAGGCGTGCCCGGGGTTAGCAGGTGGTGTGTGCTGCGCACCTGGCCGGGGGGTGGGGGGCCCTGGTGGCCAGGAGGCGGTGCTGGTAGCATCGCTGACCCCAGGTCAGGAGCCGGCGCAGCCCTGGGGAGCACACCCCGCCGGGCGAGTCGGCCTGTGACCATTTGCTAGTTTTTCAGTCAGCCTGCTGCTTCCTGTTCTCTTCCTCCGAGAACAACGGACTTCAAGTCCTTCTGAAACCAATGGCAAATTGGACTTTGTCTCTTAGAAAGGCCAGAGGCGAACTCCAAGGGCATTTCAAAGCCAGAGCACACGGGGCCTGGGAGGTGCTGCGCTTGTGCGTGAGGGCACCCCGTTCGGCAGGTATTCTCAGAAGGAAATGGAGTGGTTGCCTGGGGCGTGGAAGCATAGAGAGCTTCCAGAAACTGGGGATGCAGTAACACAGACACCGGTGGGCCCCGCGTGGGCCCCACGCTTCCCCATTGTGAACAGTGATGGATGGAGCCTTAGGCAGCTAGGCAGGTAGGGAGGTCAGTGGATAGATGATAGGTAGGTAGGTAGATAGATAGATAGATAGATAGATAGATAGATAATAGAAGAACGGAAGGAAGGGTAAGTGAATGGATGGATGGACAGATGGATAGTTTGATACACTGATTGGTGGATGATGGATGGATAGAAAATCGGTAGAGAGGTAACAGGTAGACAGACGATAAGTCAATACCTGATGGATGGATGGATTGATGGAGGGGTAGGTAGGCAGGATAGATAGATACGAAACAAAAATTTACACAGAGAGACACATACACATACACCTTCAGATTTGCCGCTGACACACCTGCTGACTGCCCTCCATTTGCTGAGCCCTGTGAATGAGCCGTGATCAACACTTCTCTCGTGGGGTCACGATTCCAGGCTGGGTCGCTCAGGGGCACACGAACAAGCAGGTGGCATATTGTGGAAGGTGCTAGAGAGCAAACCATGGGAGCACTGAGTGGGAATGGAAGAGTAGGGGACATACTCCTGTTGAGGTCTGCATTCGCCCCCATGAGGGCCCCTCCACCTGACGACGGCAGGTGGGCAGCCTGGGGTCGGGAAATGAGGGGGAGGGTGTGCTGGGCACAAGGGGGAGGGTGGAGGGAGCATTGCTGGCCTGCGTGGGCAGAAGCACACACAGGACACTCGGTCACCCTCTGCCCACGCTCAGGGCCACAGCCCAGGTCCTCCCGGCAGCCTGGCCCACAGAGTACAGGAGAGGCCGCTCAGCCCCTGACCAGGTGTGTTTGCTGAGGCCCAGCCTGTGTTCCGCTTCTCTACACTCATTTTCTTGGTGCTCAGCCGCTGGGTGAATGAACCTGCACCCCGGGATCCAGACATGTTCTCTGTGCACTTGGGTTCCCAGTTGGGGCAGAATGTTCTGTTTGGCAAAGATGATCCGTTTGTGTTCTCTTTGGAGCAGAACCAAGGCTGTCTGTCTGAGGGACACGGGTTTTCTGTGTGTGTTTCTGTACCCCAGGGCTTGGCCGTCCCACTCACTGCTGGAACACCTGGTGGCTAGGGACCTAGGGCCCAGCATGCCCACAGGAGGCTGGTATTTATTGATTTTAGAGAGAGAGGAAGGAAGAGGGAGAGAGATATAGAAACATTGATGAGAGAGAACATCAAGTGGCTGCCTCCTGCACGCCCCTCACTGGGGATGGGCCCACAACCTGGGCATGTGCCCTGACTGGGAATCGAATTGATGACCTCTTGGTGCAGGGTCGATGCTCAACCACTGAGCCACACCGGCCGGGCTGCAGGCTGGTGTTTTTAAGCAGCGTCTGCTTCCTCTCGAAAGCTGTAGGCGCAAGAACTCGCAGCAGGCTCTCGAGTAGCGTCACTTTGTTACCACGTGGACGAGGTGCTGTGGAGACCTGACTCCAGCTGTTGTCAGTTATCCTGCGCTCCCGCGTGTCATTACATGTCGCTTCCCTTAAAGGCACATTTGAGGACTTCCTGTATGTTGATGCCATTTGGCAAAACAACCCATTTTGGTTCTGTAGAAACCTCTCTGCCCTTACGTTGGTGAGTGACCCTTGGGCCTCGCGGATGCTTCCTGCCGGTTCTCGTACCTTAGACGGATCCTTCTAGAAGTGCAGTTGTAGGTCCAAAAGGTTGAATGTGGACAGTTCACAGTTTACTCTCAAGGTCTGTTTCCCTTATTGGGCAGTTTTACCCACTTGCAATATTATAGCTGAAAGTCTTGCAAAAATAAGAAAAGTTGTTTCCAAACAAGGATAAATTCTTTGAATGTTAAGAAAGGCTGGCTTGCGACAGGTCCTGTTCCGTGCTCCCATGCGACAGAAAGCAGAGATGTCGCTGATGTTTGTTTAGAGATTTCAAACTGTGAAAAACGTTTACCCATAGTTGACTGACGTCATTACCTCACCTGACAGGTGACTGATACGTAAGGCCTTGCTGTGCTAAAATGTGGAATAGGCAGTCCCCACACCTGTGCTTCTGCTGGACAGGTTTTGAGTTTTCATAAGAATCCACATCCAGCCTGGCCGGTGTGGCTCAGTGGTTGAGCGTCGACCCTGCACCAAGAGGTCACCAATTCGAGTCCCAGTCAGGGCACATGCCCAGGTTGTGGGCCCGTCCCCAGTGGGAGGCATGCAGGAGGCGGCCCATCCATATTCTCTCTCATCAATGTTTCCATCTCTCTCTCTCCTTCTCCCTTCCTCTCTCTCTAAAATCAATAAAGGAAAAAAAATTTTTAAAGCAAAAAACCCACATTCATAGCACATATTCAGAAATCCAGAGCCCTCTAGTTGGGGGTGGGGAGGGAACACTTAATCTGTTTCCTTTTTTTAAACAAGGGTGTAAGTCAGACGTTAGAGGCACGTCTGCAGCTTACGGACCGAGTCTGTGAGACACACCTGTTTTGCTCGATCACGAGGAGGCAGATCAAGGGATCCGGAATTTGAGTGGAAAACTTTTCCATCTTTAAGGTGGACATGAGTGACCTGGGGGGTCTTGTGGGATGCAGATTGGGTTCTGTAGGTCAGGTATGAGCCTGGCCCTGTGGTCCCACAGGCTTCTTCTGGTCCCCCCACCACCACTGCTGGGGAACAGGGACATGCTGCGAGCTGCAGGGTCCGGCCTGAGCCACCAGGGGGCGCTACCACTGGGCCTGCGGAGCCCCAGCTGAGTTCATGCTCTTACCAGCACAATGGCCAACGGTACAGTACGTAATGCGTGTCTTCCCTTCCAGCGTGGAGAACAGGCCCGGGTTCGTGGCGGTGGAACTACGCCTGCGCAATTACTACTACGATGTGGTGAACTGAGGCCCCCCGCCTGGACCCACCACCAGTGAGCAGATGCGTCCTCTCCGGCAGACACCTCACAACCCCACAGTGCTTTGATTCTGAGTCTCCGCTTTCCCCCTCCCGCCGGGAGAGCCAGCCTCATGGGGACACGCCCGTGACTGTGGTTCCCAGAGCCTGTCCCGGAAGCTACCCTCCGCAGAACAAACGTGGCCTGCAGCGCGTGGGAGAAGGGCGGACAGCAGGGCCGCAGGGACCCGTTCGCCTGTATCTCTCGTCTGGGTGGTTCTCACGCAGGCCTTTTCAGGACCTGTGTCCAGATGTCCCTGCCGTCTCTCCAGTTCTCTGGTTCCTGGGCTGCCTCTGGCGCCCGGAGCCTGGAGCTATGCCCAGGTGCATGGAGGTCACTCACCCTGCGTGCTCAGCCTCCACAGGGCCAGGGGCCCCGGGGTGCCCACCGTGGGGGGCCGGTGGGGACAGGAGAGGGGATTTGGCTCGAACAGGCTGCCTGACTTATCCTGCCCCTGGAAAGCTTTCCCGACGGTAAAGTGCTTTGAAGCTTAAAACGTCAAGTTCTACCTGCGATTTGGAAGGCGGAGCCCGTCCAGGGGGACGGAGCCTGCTGCTGCGTTCGCCCTCTGCGTTCTGAGCCAGGAGCCTCGCGTCTGCGCGCGTGCGGCGCGGGCGGGAATCGGCGGCTCGCTGACCCCGGAGCCGCACCTCCGCGGAGACTGCTGCAGCGGGACGGTGCAGGAAAGGGACGGAGGACCCGCAGGGTGCTGTGAGCTGCCCCTGCTGTCTAGCTGGTGAGGTCCGTGCTTCCTCAACCTGAAGAGAGGATGCGGCCGGAGCTCCTGTTCTTTTCTGTATTTGTGGTGGGGCCGCCCTGCGGGCCTCTGCAGATAAAGATGAGTTTCTAAAGAAAGTGTTAATTCATAATAAAGTCACAGACCCTGCTCCTCACCACAAGGAGGCTTCATTGAGTGTGATTTTGATACAAAACCCAAGAGTTATTACCTAGTCCCCTAGTGTTAGTCAATCCTTAACTAATGTTTGATCTTGTGCAAGTCATCAGCCACTGAGCATCCGTTTTGGTGCAGCTGTGGAATCAGAGCTGGTCAGCCACCCTTAGATCAGTCGAGGCGCACACTCAGACTGGCTGATCTTCAGCTCCCCTGAGACGCTGAAAGCGCACCCCAGCCGTGAGCAGGGGGGGCCTGTCCCTGATGGGGCAGCGAGGCTTGGGGACAGCAGTCCGCCCGCGTGCTCGGCCAGAAGACACCGCTGCTCTCAGAACGTCTGCGGAGGGCGTTCCAGAACATTCACGTCTCGTAGAATTGTGCTCGCTGTGGTTTCGTAACTGTGAAAGAGGATGCCCGTGTGCTGAGCACACTCAGAACAGTGGCAATACCCTTACAGATCCTGATTTAAAAAGGCGAATGACGCCCGGCCGGCGTGGCTCAGTGGCTGCGCGTCGACCCTGCACCTAGAGGTCCCGGTTCGATTGCCGGTCAGGGCACACGCCCAGGTTGTGGGCCCATCCCCGGGGGAGGGGGACGTGCAGGAGGCGGCCAGTCGATGTTCTCTCTCATCGATGTTTCTCTCTCTCTCCTTCTCCCTTCCTCTCTCTCTAAAATCAATAAAGAAAAATAAAAAATAAAAAGATGAAGGACAACATCTGTGTGGTCAGGCGAGATGTGGATTTAGACCCGTAGGAGGAAGTGTCAGATGCAGCAGTGATGCCCTCTGAGCGGCTGGGCCGCTGCCTGCGGTGGCCTCTGTCCTCCGAGTGTGTCCGCAGGGAGGGCCACGCGCTGCCGGAACCGGCTCACAGCCTGCTTCTCCCCCACCCTCCAGCAGCGCCCGCCCACCCGGAGGTCTGGGGTCAGAACACCCGCTGTGGGGACAAGGGGAGGAGGCCCAGCGGGGGCGTTGTCCTCGGCCTCCGGGGGGGCATTCCTGTGTGGGGGGTGCCCTCTGTGGCCGTGTGTGCGCCTCGTAGTGCCAGGCCCTGTCCTGGGTTCCGGAGGAGGGCGCGGAGGGGAAGGCAGCTTCCTGGAGGGTTTATGATGCGGCGGGCTGACCTGGGAAGGGAAGGGCTCCGTGTGGGGCGCCAGCCTGCGTTTGCCCTTCCCATGCGCGGCCCTTCGCCTGGCTCTGGCCACGTCTGTACACAGGGCTGGGCTCTCTCCACCTGCTCTCACCTTCCGGTCCTTGTCTCTGGGCAAAGGGCATCATGGACCTTCTGGCTGCCCGGGCCAGGCCAGCACCGCCGGCCGCTGGGCCACGCACACCCTGAGCCTGAGCCGACCGCAGGTCCTCATGACAGAAACATAATCTGTCCTGTGGTTGAAAATCGTGTGTGGTTTTCATCTGAGCACGCCCCTCCCAACACGTGCTATCACCAGCCTCCTTGACTGATAACTGGTGACCTCAATGACATCGACCAGCCAAGGCCCGCAGCTCTACCCAATTCCACGCACACGGCCAGCCACCGGTCCTCCGGGCCCCACTTCCCAGAGCACGCTCGGCCAGCCAGCAGCACCCCCTCCTCTTTGACGCTGTGATTTCAGTAACAGTTTAGACTTGTGGTGGTTCTCGTGGGCGTGGCTGGAATCTGACAGGCCGTCAGGTAAGGGTGGCGTGGCCTAGACAGGGCCACGCGTTGGTTTGTGTTCAAACGGTGAGTCCCAGCCGTGTCCCAGAGTGGTGCGTGTCTGTGGGCCCTCGGGGCTGGGCCGTGAGCCTCTGCCGTCCACAGGAGGGAAAGGCGGGTCAGGGGCCCAGGCCGCCGGGATGCCCTGTTCGCGGGCACGGGGTCTGCCCCCAGAGGTCCTGACAGCCCACATCCGCCCCAGTGGAAGGCGGCGGAAGGGACCAGAAGCCGAAGGGCCCACGGCAGGGCCGTGCCTGAGCCCCCTCCCTCGTGCACACGGGTGCGGGCTGTGCTCAGCTCTCTGCCCGGAACCGCCTGGCCCCCGGTTCCTCCCTCCCCAGGCCACCGGAGGTGCCCGCCAGGCCGGCCGAGGTTGGAGGCGGCAGGGGTGGCGGGCCTGGCGCTCCCACGGGAGCCCTGAGACCACGGCGGCACCGGATGGGAAGGGGCCCGGCTGCCGGGCAGGGGGAGGGGGAGGGCGGCCTGCTGCACGGCACAGCGGGCCCAGCACCGCCCGGGCGGCTCACGGGGTTCAGCTGGTCTGCCAGTCACAGGTGGGGTTCCCCCGGGCACAGGCACAGGCGAGGGGCCATGTTCTCACAAAGTCAGCAGGAGCCACGGTCTGGGCCCCAAGGCCACCGGCAGCCTAGCGGGGGCTCTGCAGGCCAGCAGAGGGCATCCTGTGAAAACTCAGGAGAGGGGTGACCTCGGACTTGGGAACCTTCAACCCCGGGTGGGCCGAAACCACTGCTGTTCTGCACGTGCTGATCACTGGAAGCGGTGGCATGAGGTGGCCTGGACACGGGGAGATGTGGAGACCCGAGCCTGCCTTCCCAAGGTTAGGAGGGTCAATGGACATGTCCTCCTCTCGGACGGGAAGAAAGCGATTTGAGAGCCAGAGTGAGATCTCTGTCAGCCTGGGGTGCGCAGGCTTCAGGTGGCTGTCACCGCTTCCCCGCGCTGGCTTGTGGCCCCAGGACAGGGATCCGTCCCTGCTTCGGGGACAGAAATTCCCTTAAATCAGAGCATTTTCTCAGGTAGAGCCCAGCAGAGGGCCTCAGGCCGTCCTCCTCCTCCCTGCCCAAAGGGAAGCCCGAAACTACCTCCCAGGGTCTCCCAGTGGACGTGAGTATGAAGGACGGCTCCCGCCGTGCGGCAGCAGGCTCCCTGGTCGGTAGTGCCCAGTGCTGGACCCCAGGCCCCCACGCCCGCTCCCCTCAGTTCCCGGAGCCTCCGCACAGACCTATGTTCAGATCTCCAGCATTTCCTGACCTCTTTGACCACAGACTTAATCACCATTTTGCCCGATGCCCATTAGCAGGATGGACCGGTTTCCTTGGACACCAGGGCGCACCGCTCTTACGCTCATGATGAAGGCGTCTCTGCAGTGGGGGGGACACTGGGGGCCTCCGGGAACCTGATGCTGTCCTGCCCCTGACATCAGCCAGGAAACCGTTACCCACCATGTTCTCATCAGCTGCAAAACCCGCGGTCAGGGTCTCAGACGGGGGTGCTCTACGTCATGTCCTCCCTTTCCTCTCGTGCACACACAGACACACCCACACACACACACAATCCACACACATACACACGTCATACACAAACAGACACCCCCCACACCCCCCACCCACATCCACACACACACACATCATACACACACAGACACACACACACACATCATACAGACACACACCCACACCCACACACCCACACACATCCACACACACACATCCACACACAGACACCCCCCACACCCCCCACCCACATCCACACACACACATCATACACACACAGACACACACACACATCCACACACACACATCATACACACACATCTACACACACACATCATACAGACACACACCCACACCCACACACCCACCCACATCCACACACACACACACATCATACACACACATCTACACACACACACATCATACACACACATCTACACACACACATCATACACACACACACCCACACCCACACACCCACCCACATCCACACACACACACACACATCATACACACACATCCACACACACACACATCATACACACACATCTACACACACACACATCATACAGACACACACCCACACCCACACACCCACACACATCCACACACACACATCATACACACACAGACACACACACCCCACACACATCCACACAGACACACATCATACACACATCATACACATCCACACATCAAACACACACATCCACACACACATCATATACCCACATCCACATGCACACCATCCACACACATCCACACACATCCACATCCACATATCATACACACACATCAAACACACACACATCATACACCCACATCCACACACACATCATACACCTCCACACACACATCATACACACACACATCCTCCACACATCCACACACACATCCACACACATCCACACACACATCAAGCACACACATCCACATCCACACATCATACACACACATACACTTTCACATCCACACATTCATATGCACATACATAGATAAACACACACACATATACAAACACACATACACACACTCATGTGAACACAAACACACATATACACACAGAGACACACTCATGTACACACACAGACACACACACACTCACGTATGCATTCACTCACGCACATAATAAAAATGTCCTCTAAGGGAACAGCCAAGGTGCTGCGGCAGGACGGCCCCGGGACGTGGTTCACTACCGAGCGCTCCTGGAGGCCGCTCCCTGGGCGGTTGGTAGCTGTGGATCGCACCCTGAAGGAAGAAGCCCACTCGTCCAGAGCCACCAGCACGTCCAGGGAGTGCCCGGTGCCCAGCACAGCTGAGCCCGGATCCGACGCCCGCACTCCTCTGCACTCACTGCTGTCTGGGCGCCGCCGGAATGCTCTCAGCCACTGGGCCTCCGCCAGGGACATTTCCAGGGCGATTTTTCCAGCCCGGCATGACTGCACCAAAGCCACGAGCCCTAGGACTCCGCCCCTTGCCGTCTTTCAAAGGACTGCTTCTATGGCCGTCACGGAACTGGAACATGAGTGAACAGTGCGTGTTGTTCACAGGGACTCTTCCTCATTCATACACAGCCCGTTCTGGCACAGACGACATTGTCCCTGGAAGCCACCGAGCGTCCACATTCCTCCTTCCCTGCCCAGGGCCGAGGCGAGGCCTGGATGTCATGGGCAGTGAGCAGCAGGAAAGGCATCAGGAAGACATTTTCCTAACCTGTGCTGCTCAGGAAGTTGTTTTTCGGGGCCCAAGTACCCGAGCTTCTCCGAGAGCAACCGGGTAGCCTCCCTTCCCGCACCGGCAGCACCCGGGGAGCCTGGCTTCTGGCACTGGGCTGTCCCCAGCAGCATAGGCCCCCGGCACCCGCCAGCATGTCAGGGAACAGCTGCCCATCGCCCACCCACCTCCTCCTGCTTCTCACTTCTGCCAACATCCAACCCGAAGAACAGGAAGGCAAGATGCTCGAGGAAGCCAGTCCCAGCGACCTCCACGTCGGACCTCGTGGGGCGGAGGAGCTGAGGACAGTCCTCCAGGACGAAGCGCGGCCCGGTCAGAGCACAGCAGAGAACCGTCTTATCCAGCTTTTCTCTGCCATCAACTCACTCAGACATGCGCTCACTGGGGACACTCCTCTCTTGAGGTCGGAAGACGTTCGTTCCGTGGTGAGATCTTCTCTCGGGGGCGCCCACACCCTGAGCAGTGGTCTCCCACAGGCTGCTTGCTCAGTGGGGGTGCCCCAATACCACTGAGTCCACTGTATTCAGAGTTCCTACTCTCTGCGCCGTAATTTGGAAGCAC